CATAAAACACGTCAGCCCGAGGCTTACTTATAGAGATGGAGCGCTAGAGAGAAAGAGAGAGTGAGAGTGAAAGCGATAGAGACAGGGAAAAGAGAGATCGTACCGCGTAGAAGAGTATCTCGACTTGGCTCTTAGTCAACACCCAAAATGGCTACCCCACAAGCCATGGACTCCACTCATCCGGAAATAGTCTGGTCTGGCCGTGTGCAACTGCCGATAAACCCCAACGTAAGCAAACACAACACAGGCATGCCTCAGCTGATGACGTGTTCCAATGTGCGGGAACATGGCTACAGTCTTGTCAACTCGTGAAGTGCTCCCTGATAAGATACAGAATTGAAGATTTTTCGAGAGTAGATCACTTATTAATCAGTTGATCGGAATTGCTATATCATAAATTGCACTTCTATATATTTTTATAGAAATAAACAAGAGGTTCTAGTCGGGAGCTCCCGACTAGGGGATACCCTGAACCATCTTCTTCCAACATCAAATGCATATATAATTGCCCAAAAAACAGGATATCGATATCGATTTATATCGGTTGCTTGAAAACATAGTAAGTTATTGATTATCGGAAACAAACTCGATCTGCGCAGGCACTAGGAGCAGCTACATCTAAAATTTCAAGTCTTTAGCTCTTATAGGTTTTGAGATCCTTGCGTTCATACATACGGACAGACGACTCGGCTATTGATGCTGATCAAGAATATATATACTTTATGGGGTCGGAGATGCTTCCTTCTGCCTGTTACATACATTTGGATTTTGCACAAATACAATATACCCTTATACCCATTTTTAATGGGTTCAGGGTATAAAAACGGCCGTAGCTGTCAAATTAAATTAAGGTTTCCTAATAATATATGATAATATAATAACGTTTCCATATAACATAGCTTTTAAATAAAAATCTTACATTAATCCCATGGCAACTATACGATATAGCCTATATGGCTAGTTTTTAAAGAGTTTGGTCTTATCAATAATGAAAAAAAATATATGTATATAGATATGATTCAAGCAAATCTAAAATTTCGACTAGCATTTGAGTTATGTATAGGGTATAGAAGTCCATTCTTGAAGGTTTTTCGGTTATATTTTCGGAGCATGATATTGGTCAATATTACGATATTTTGCATAACTTAAAAGATGTTGCTAGAAGAACATGATTCGATATATAGTTGTATCAGCATATATATCACAATTTTCCAATACTCAAGACTCCAAACTTTTTTACAGCCTTAGAACTGAAGTAAGAGATTGAACAGAATTCGAGAGACTGAAAAGTAAAAATAAACACGGCTATATAGACTGATCCAGTGAATATATTTTGTACGATGTCGGGAATTCTTCTATTACGCATTATATATTTCTGGTCAAATCTTGATAACCTCAGCTTAAATAAATGTTTTAAATAACCTGAATTTAAAAGTACTCCCCCTCTATTCTATTATAATATAATTTACTGATGCGCTTTAAAAATGTTATATACTTCATTCAATTTTTCACAACTAGAGCTTATCTACTAATATTTTTCCCACACTTAACACTTAAGTCAAGTACGAACAATTTAAAAGACACTCAGATTTGTATTATTATTTGTGGAAAGTCTTTTATTCTTTGTGTACTCATTCGTTCTGGTTCGGGGAATTCGTGATTCTATAAAGAAGAGAATCTTTTTTTGCCTAGTCCAAATACGTATAGTGCCTGTGTAGCGCTGCAAATTGTAATCAGAGTCGAATGCAAAGTACACCCCCAGCTCATATGCTATCAGCGAGTCGAAAACAAACAGCTGCAAATTGAGCTGGCAGAAGGCAAGTGCCAGACGCCACATAGACATGCTTTTGAATATGCAAGCGACTTTATCTGCATGTTAAATATCAAACATGAAATACTGCGTATATTGTTGTCTTTGTTTATTTATTTTATTAGCTTGGTAACATAATTTAAAGATACATTTCTTCAAGCGAACGCTGCTTACTTAAACGTTATCACAAATGTGTGTGCGCGTGTATATGATAGTGTGTGTGTGTGTGTACATGGAAAATAAATCAAATTAAATAATAAGCGATTGTAAATCAGATGTTTCACGTATTTGTTTTTGTTGTTTTTTTGTTGCTTTTGTAGCTGCTGCGCTTCGATTTATTTAACACAACTCGGATGACAATTGAAATTTACAGAACGCAGCGTGGGGTGTATTTTTTGGAATCTTTATAATACTAGAAAATTAATTGTATTTTGCACAGAACGATGAGTGAATTTTGATAACAGCTATTTAGAGTTGCGCTGCAGAGATGACTGCTTATTGCTTCTGCAGATACTCGTCGAACAGATAGACGGAGAGGGATGGCTCGCGCACGGTGACCAACTTGGACAGGTCGTTGGCATAGCCAGACAATTTGCGCACAGACTCGGCCTGCTTGCTCAAGAAGTTCTCCTGCAGATAATGGGCCATCTCGGGATCGTGTTCGCGGTTCTGTGTGGTGCCGTGGGTGGCGCTGGTGTGCACGTGAATGGCGCCATTGGTCAGCTCCTTCTCGTTGTCCAGGGCACGTGCCAGCGACTCCAGCTCGTTGAGGTGCACCTCTGGTGGATGGGCAACACCCTTGTCATGGGCCTTGCTGAAGTCGACGGAACCGCCGCGGCGTGTCACCTGCTTGATGAGCTCAATGGTATCGTCGAAACTGCGATCGGAAAGACCCTGGTAGAGCTTCTGGAAGCCGGGTCGGTTCATCTGGTACGAGTTGAAGTGGGTGGCCAAGAGCAGATACTCATAAGACTTCTTCAGCTGCAGCTGAATGTAGTCCTGCAGCTTTGGCTCCAGATGTCCAATGGCGGCATAGCGTGCATTACAGTTGGAGACACCACCTGTGATGGGTGCATACAAAAAGGTGACATTTAGCAAGGGTGTGGAAAGCATTAGTCTGGTTTTTTTAAGATAAGGAAGTATTTTCGCTTACTTTCGTCTGAGAAAAAGGCCATGAGCGCTTGTTTATTTTTAAAATTATAAAATATTCAGAAGCAAGACACAGTTACAGTTAAAACCGGAACGAGTAATCACACACAGGCACACACACACATATACAATCACTCTCTTTCACACTCTTCCATTCGTGCGCTCAGTCAATCTCTCGCTCTTTGGGATTTTGTGTGGAGTACTCACCGTTAGCAGTTTGTCCGCAAGCAGACTGCACGTCAACTTGGCAGGTTTGCTCTTGGGCCTGCGCAAGAGCACAGACGGCCGCAATCAAAGCGAATGCAATGAAATATTTCATTTTGTTTGCTTTTACTTTCTAGAATTAGAATAAACGAAATTTCACAATTAGACCTATTTGAATTTAAAAAATCTGTCAGTCTGCTTCTCGTTAATTCGATTTAAAGAAACGAAGCAGCAACAATAACAATGCGCCTTTTGCGTCGTAATTTCTTGAATATTCTTTGACTCTCTTCGACTCGAGAGCGCAATTTTCAATTGCTTGCCCGTAATATGTTTCTTTTTTTAATAACTTTAATATTTTAGTTTCCTATTTGTTATGATCGTACTAACTAGCTCACAATTAAACAGAAACACTTACTTTAGTGTCGCGTTGAACTTAATTTTCAGTTTTTCTGCTTTACTTTTATGTGTTGTTTCTTATGTGCTGCTTGTTGGAACTCAAATTGTGAACTGCTGTTTATAGCGTTGCGTTTGTCTCGTTTCTATGCCTCGGCAATGCCTCGCTCTGTGCGCCAGTGTGAGTGAGTGCGCGAGTGTGTGTGCGAGAGTGAGAGTGTATGGGTATGCTGTTTTGCACTCGCCGACTCTCCGTTGGGGATTTCGTTGTCAGTCAAAAATGGCTCTGGCAATATGGCCGCGTCTCTGTTGTTGTTGTTGTTGCCATTGCGGTTGTTTTTCTTTGTGACTCAGGCACTCTCAAGTTGTTTGTGCGCTCTGCGCGGCGCGTAGGGTTACCAGCGTGTTCAAAGTTCTTACAATAAGTTTCCATATTTCATCACAGAGCTAGAAAATGAATCAAGCGAATGAAACTAGTTTAAGCCAACAGAAAAAGTAATGCACATCACGCCCAAGGCTTACATGAATAAAATGAATGTTTTTTATATATAAATCAACATTTACAGGCAGTCAAAAAACAACATTTTTCAATGATTCTTAAAACTTATCAGTTGGGTTTTGGTATTAAATGTTTTGTTATCATTCCACAAAATTCTTATCAGGCGTTCGGCATCATATATGACATTATGGTTACCCTTCAGAAGTTGCCATGTTGGCACTGATAGTCAATAAAAATCTTGATTGATCCCCTACCATACCTGATAGTTTTAGCATCTGTGCTCAAGTAAGGTATTAAGACATCATATTTTTTCATATCAAACATGAGAACATGGCAACCCCTGACGTGTACCAGTCAAAATGAACACAAGCAAAATTGGTTTCAAAAGGGTCGCATCGGCTATACCTTGCAAAGCAATTTAACTATGTATATTAATACGATTAATGTGATAAAATCGACTAACGACTAACTAAATTGGAATTTTATATTTAAAACTTATTATTTTCAAGCTTAGTCATTTGCCATATCTTCAATTACCACTCTGTAGTTCTATTGTACACATATGTATATATGCATTATATACCCCATGTACGAGTAAATTTGTAACAAAGAACAGCTGACTGGAGAGCCTCCGCTGCCATTTGGCGGCCATTGTTATGAAGCATTGTTCAGCAACGACATATTAGTAATATTAACAGAGGAGATTTTATATTGAGGACGTGTGGAAGTAAGTGTGGTAAATTAAGTACGTCTATCAAACAACAATAACAAACTATGCGACGACATATTGGATTGATAAGAGCGCGCTGATACACACACACACATAAACACAAACACACATAGCATACACGTATTGTGTAGGCACACACAGCGCTCTTTGTGAGCGAGAGCTACCAGCGACGAAGCGTTTAAAAGTGTTTTGCTCGGCACTGGCACAGACAGTTTGCATTCACATAGCGAAGGCGCGTTAAGCAGAAGAATTACGAAACGTTCAAGTACGTGAAAAGATTCAATTTGTCAGGGTATACTTTCATAAATCAGTATCGTAAGGTACCGGAAGAACCGAATAATCCAATAAGTCCAATTTGATAGAAAGAGCAAGCTTCGCCTTCTATGCCAGTGTGTGTAAAGGCAGCTTTGATAGACAATTGAGACGAGATAAAAGATCGACTCGAAAGTTCTCTATTTAACATTGGCAGCACAACCGAAACGGTTCATTTTCATTTGTGCATTTAGGCTGAGCACATAAATTGATTGCATTGATTAATTAACTGAAAGTGATATATTTGTTCTGTGATTTTGTGTAAAGACATCAACAACAACAACAGCAACCACAACAACAGCAGCAACCGAAGAACAAACATGGTGAAATTAATTGCGAGTATTTGCCTACTGGTCGTTCTGGCTGTGGTCAACCAGGCCCAGGCTGATAACCTACAATGTGAGTAATTTCAATCTAGATTAAAACATTTTGGAATTGTTAAATGAAAACAAAAAAAATTTGTAAAAACCAATAAAATTCGACGCAATTCACTTCGATGGCGACGCAGCGTAAGGCCAAACAAAGAGCATGAGAGAGCGAGAGTGCAAGTAAGAGCATCGAGGCGTGCGCACACATCTAAGAGCATCTTTGGTCAGCTGTTCGCTTGACTGCTCTCTTCATGACATACTCTCGGATATTTATACCAATATAATACTAAATTAAATCAATTTACTTTCGCTTGCCGCGATTATTTGAACTTTGATGATTGTATAACAGATTAGCTTAATTTACATATGTTGTATAATAGGTGAGTTTGAATCTCAGCTCTACACATAACGGCAACTGTGGACAACGTAACTCATAAACTCTCTTATCGACAATTCTGTATTATGTTTTTGTTAAAACCTTTTGCACACGGCCTCGGCCTAAGCTCGGTTATGCTAGTGCGAGCGAGACAGATTAAGTTGAGTTAGAGTAGAAGCGCGAATTTTTGCACACGGCACAATACCAAAACAAATGCCGTTACTATGGCGACACTTGCGCACGTTACCACAAAGAGCGCAGAGAATAAAAAATAAATAAAGGGAGGGATAGAGAGAGAGAGAGAGAGAGTTTACCATATAACTGCACTTTGGCTTTGCACACGCTCTTGTTAGTTCTAGAAACTTGAGTGTGCATTGCATATGCAATAACCCATGCTGCCTTTGTAATGACCGCTCTAATGACCACTCCTTGCTCCCCTTAGCGCCCACAGCTAAACAGTCCAGTGTTGTGCAGGACTTGAAAAATCGAAAGTCGCAAACGCAAGATCTCAAGCAAGATTTTCTTAACTGTATGTCAAATATGGAAATCTCTTGTTACATTACTCTAGCTATCGATTATATACCGCTATATCTAAATGTTGATCTATTGGCTTGCAGGCAACATCAAGTCGAATGCTGTTTTCAGGGGATGGCCCGACATGAAGGAGCCATGTATTAAGAGCATGCGCGACCAGATTCAGAAGGAGATTGAAGCCTCCACCCAGTATCTGGCCATGGCTGCCTACTTTTCAACCGACACCGTCAATCGTCCTGGCTTCGCCGAGCACTTCTTCAAGGCAGCCAGGGAGGAGCGCGAGCATGGCTCCAAGCTGGTAGAGTACCTGTCGATGCGTGGCCAGTTGACCGACACCGTTAACAACCTGATCAAAGTACCGGTTAGTATTCTTTGCAAATGTTTTGAAATATGCTCTCTTTTCATTTGAATATACATTTTAATGGCCCCGTTATAGTCTGTTAAGGTGACCAACTGGACTGGTCTGTCGGCTCTGGAGGATGCTTTCAAGCTAGAAACCGAGGTGACCAAGTCTATTCGCGAGCTGATCAAGACCTGTGAGGGTACTTCCAAGAAGGCTGATGATAACGATTATCATTTGGTCGACTATCTGACTGGCGTCTATCTGGAGGAGCAGCTGACTGGCCAGCGCGATCTGGCTGGCAAGATCACCACACTGGAGAAGATGATGTCCTCCCATGGCCAATTGGGCGAGTTCCTGTTCGACAAGAACTTGTAAGGTGTCACGCTCTGGGAAACACCAATATCAACTCATTGTCTAGCATGCTATTCATAGTTTTTACTGTGCTCTTAAAAAACTCTTATTTAAAATTAACTGTAACTAGCCGCTGCAAAAAAAAACTCACAATCCCCACAAGTATTTTGTTATCTTCACAAGTTTTTGCCAAATTTAGTTTATAATTAAATCACACTCAAACATTAAAAGCTCTTCTTTTTTGTTTCATACAAATATTGGCCAAATAAATACAACGTTCTGTTTGATGTCAATTTCATTCCAAGGCACAGTCAAATCCACAAGTTCTTTTCTTATCAATCCCAGCCCGCTGGCCACTCCAGCTAAAGGGCTTTAGATAAAGCAGCGTCATAAATTAATCAGTGCGTCTAAAAAACAACAGACAGACTAAATTGTGATTTATTTACAATATGCTATGTATAACTATTTCGTTATCGCGCACGAGTACACGTGCTCTAAAGTTCATGTTTTAGTTCTTTCGCGATTTGTTAACAATTCATTTGAAATTGAAAAATCCATCTACATAAGGCATACATTTAGATATAAACAAGTACAATATATACATATAAATATTTTTCTGTCAATTAGTCAATAGAGCTATTAACTTAATAAACATTACGATCAAACTAAATTCAAATTTGTTTTTTTATATATAGATTTAGTCAACTTTTCCGATTTGGTTAACTTTTTAGGCTATAAGGGAATTTCTAGAATTTTCTAGAAAGTTTCTTTGAGCAGAAACATTGGAAATACTAAGTTCTTGATTGATTGATATTGATATATATGATATATCTAATCAAAGTACATAAGATTTATTCCCGTTAGTTAGGTGGGTACATTGGGACTGTAAGGGGAGTGTGGGGGGGGGGGGGGGTTCTCTACTCATTATAAAAGAGATCCATTTTTTACAAAATAGATATCCCAAATTTGGCGGGTAGACCAACATTGACCCAAATATATATTGATAAAATCGATATGCTCGAGTTTTAGAGCTAAAGATCAATGCAAAGGTATAAATAATTATTTTCTAGCTAGAGTTCAACGTGTTTTTTTTCCCCCAGCTAGCGTTAGGTTAAAGGCGAAGATTTGTCTTTGGCTACAATTGATGTGTTTTATGGTCACGTATTGTCTATACAGATGAAAATCTAATCTCGAAAATCGCATTGTATATTCCATTTGAGCAAAAGTCCCATTGGCCTTATTGACCCTTTCATCTAGCCCAGAGAGCTGAGGCTAATCTGATTTGGAAACACAAAAAGCAAAGGGATAAAATGCATGGCGTGTGTGACAACCGGACAGGGGCAGCGAGTTGGATGGCGGGATGGGGCATAAAGAATAATTCATAAGTCACTTGTAAAAATGTCCTGCACTTGAGCAGACAGAACGAACACACCCAAACCCCAATCGAAGCTAACCGAATCTCAACCCAGAGCCTGCGGCAAGTGGCTAATGTGTGTTCACCCTTTCGTAGTCCTTGTCGATGATTGACAGGACATCGCATGCATTGAATTATGATAAATTGTGGCAACTGTCAAATGGCGCTGATGATGTTTCTTATTTGTGTTTGGCCTTAGTTCTTCCCAATCACCCACCCTTCCCCCTTCCCCCTTCCCCCTTCCCATTGGTAGATGGTACGTGCAGGCGAGCGTGACCAATGCGTACGTCAATGGGTTGTCAATCCTCGAATGGGCTGCGCATTTTAAACAATTTTATAAGCTAATATTTGAACAGATGTACCATCAGATGTATTGCCCACTAAATGGGCGTGGGTTCTGCTTTAAAATTGCAACCATTTCGATTTGGCTTTGTGGTTCGTCCGGCACAATGGACCGCAAATTTGTTGCAAATATTTAAGCACAATTTGGCAACGGCTGGGGTCGGGGTTCAAAGTTCAGTCCGGCATACAAATGGACGCCGGACAATGGGCATACAGGACATATTAATCTTGGCCAACCACGACGAAAATTCGTTGATAGCAAACTTTTGGCATTGGACATGCTTTCGGGCCTGCTCATCATATTTATTGCAATTTTTTTTTGCGGCTGCCCAAATTTGTGGGTTTTTTCTTATATTTTCTGCTGTTTTCTTTTTGCGAGTGATTTATTCTGTGATAAAAAACTTGTGCCGCTTATCACATTGACATTTGTTGTGCCTGTTGACAAATTTGCAACGGCCGACAGTCGCCAACCGGCCCGCCCAACGTGCCACATACAGAGCACTCAATAGGCATGAAATGAAAATGCGGAAATGGGAAAATGGGAAAATGCATTCGTTAGACAGCCGAAATCCTTTTTCCTTTTTATTGCGTCCCTAACGTTGACTGACAATGTCTGCCCGTTTGATTTAGGGCCTCGAGCCTGCCGCTTGCACCGCAGGACATCATTTGGCGTCGCCTTGGCAACGCACTCGTAATTCATATCCTTGCAGTTGGCTTTGTCTTCGTCTCTCATTTGGCTGCCGGCTAGTGAAAGCGACGCACTTTCTCGCCCCAGCCCAATGCGGCCCCTCCCTGCGCTCTGTTTGCACTTCACACTATAAATCTTCGCAGGACTCGTGAGCTATGACAGGCGTGGCGAGGCCGTTAAGCAAGTCACCTAAAACCGGTTAGTTAAACTCTAGAAAGAGTTTTCATAGAATTAGTCTCGACCCTTCCAACTGGTTTTCATGGAATATGTTCAAATTGAAAATCCTGAGCTACGAATGGATTTTAACCTGGCTAATTTTCAGTGCTCACTTTTTCGAGTAGTCCCTTTACTTACAAAGTACTTATATCTTTTAGCACAAGCATATATAATGTGTCTATACCATCATAATCTCCATATACAATCCTTGATTCTATATATTAGAAATCTAAGTCTTATATGCGCGAGTTAAACAAGAAACAAAAAACAATTACTTTTCGATTGACTTTTAAAAATGGCAAAATTTGAATTTAATCGAAATAAAGAACAGCTTAAACTAAATCCAAATCCACCTAAATAGTTGTTAAATATGTGCCTTAAACAAACGTGTTTGCTACAATTCCCATGAATTGCAAGCAATCAAATGATGTCGTCAAGTCTTTTGATTAAAACTCTGCAGACATGCTCCTGAACACAGCCCCCCCTCCCCTCCCCCACCCCCGCACAAGCCACTAAGAAATGTGTGTCCACAATTTCAAAATTTCGCCTTGGCATGCGAAATGCCAAAGCGTTATTGAAATGTCTTAGCAGCTGTCCAAACAATCTCACAACCCCAGCCACGGCTTCGGCCCCGATCCCCGTGTAACCCCTTTCGGCTGTACGGGCGAGGCGTCTGCTGATTTAGCATATTGACTGCTGGCAAGGAGCAACTTATACAAGATTTATGCGTGCGCCGTACGCCAGGCGACAGCACAGATAAAAAGGATTCGTGGTGCGACCCTCGGCCAGGACCAGTGCGAGTGCAATAAATTTGATTTGCATATTAGCACACCAGCAGCAGGACACGAGTTGGAGGCGGAGGATGAGAAGGAGGTGGAGCTGTTCCGAAAATGCTCGGCGTTGTGCACCCTCTGGCCACTGGCTACGTGGGGGCCATTAGGTAAAGGATTTCAAGCACGAAATCTTGCTTAAATTGGAAATAAATCATTAAAAATATGTATATGTGTGTGTGTGTGTGTGTGTGTGTTGAATCCTTGCCCAGATCCTTTGTCCAGTTAAGTGGATGGGGGAGCCTTGCAACAATTTCAAGCATTTGTGGCATGCATACGCTCAGCTTCTGTGGGTTGGCGGCTCATCTTGTAATTCCCTTTGATTTATAAAGATAACGACACATTGTCATGTTTGGTTCGAGCCCCCAACCACGCCCACTTCAGATGCTGGATCACAAACAAATATGACTTAAGCAAAAGTTTTCTAATTATGCATGCCCAGACTTATTGCGCCTTAGACACAGGCTAGTCGGCTCCTTGGGGAGTGCCAGACCCACACTCCGCATTCCCGGACAGTTTTTAACTGACCATTCGAAGGCGAAAGTTTTGTGGCTCGCATTTTTGAAAGATAAAGTCGAGTGCCAGGCGGCACTTTGACTTGTGTTGTGTTTATGGGTCTCGCCACAGTTCAATGGCCACAAATGTGCAGCTAGGGATATGCCCCCAGAGAGTGATTCCATGGCTGAACTTCGGGGCCAAGGGCCAGGCGAATATAAAAGCTGATTTGCCTGCCCTGCCAAAGCGAACTCCAACTGGAAGCCGGAGTCCGGAGTGCATTAAAAGCCAAAAGTGCAGCGTCAGCCTGAAGTGGGGTTTAAATAGATTTTGTGTATGTGGAAATGCCCCGGAATATCCCGAATGCCGGAATGAGCGCCAGAGTGGATGATTGCTTGTCGCGTAGTTATGCGGTAGACATGGCTCGCTTTTGATTTAAGCGCATTGTTTGGCTTAAATATTTGCCATGCCGGCCACGCAGACAATTGCAGACATGCCACGTACCATGCCACAGCCACAGCTGCAGTCAACAGCCAACAGCCAACAGTCGACAGCCGAGAGCTAGCTCCTTTGTGGGTCTTGTTTGATTTCCGCTTCTTGACTGGCTATGTATACACATACACACACACACACATACTCACGCGGCCACCCACTCGTCCTGACACTAAACAGCTTAAACTTCACACGCAGACACGTCCACGTCTGCTGCTAAGTGCGCCGGGACTCCAGCTGCCACTTTGTTGTGGGGCAGCTGCCCATATCTCCCAACTCCCAGTTGCAGCTGATGCAGTTGCTGCTGCTGCATTAGCTGCAATTGAATTGTTGCATTACCAAATTTGTAGCTGCATCAGCTGCCACAGCGGGGCCAAAATTAATTAGCCTGCCTCAGCCAGGTGCAGCAGCTAATTGGCTATTGAATGCTCTTCCAAAGCCAAAGTAGCTGCCACAACAGCTTATGGGCTCAGAGCAATCAGTCCGGCAATCACATTAGAAGCTTTCGGCCAATGCCAATCGGTGTTGGCCACATTTTAGAGGCAAGCTGGTTTTTAGCGGGTAAACAGACAATTCTCGCTGTTTGGCATATTTTTGGTTAATTTTATTCCTTTATCATTTTCAAATTTTACTAAAGCTACCTTTACTGAATTTTCATTCTAGTCATGTTTTACCTTTAATTAATTTTAATTTTATTCATGGCCAATTTATAACTGGGTCATTTCACTAAGGACCTGTGCGCCTCATATCCTTAAATAACAATCTCTAGAACTTGATGCAAACGAGCTATGTCCCTTTAAGGATATGGAACTTTCAGCTAAATACACATCGTTTCTTTTTAAGCTCGCTGTAAACATTTCACGAATTTTTCTGAGGTCCTGTGGAAGAAAAGAAGTCCTTAAGAACATCAATATCGCATTTGTTGCTTATGAGTTATCGAGGTTTTTGGTTGTGTTCCTTGCTTTGATTAAAAATTAACAAGGATTAGATTCTCAGATGAACTCATAATGAGTTAGTTCAGATTGTTGTGCCTGGTTCCTGTGTTCCTAGGGCACCATGTCCTTTGAAGCACCTTTGAAGGTCTGCAAGGTTATGTTGTAAGAATATCTTTTTACTTAGCTCGCAGTAAGCTGAAGCTAAAGGGTTTCCAGGACTTGAGCCAGAAATTTGTTTCTGCTGATTAAAAGCTTAAA